TGAGAGTTGGCAGACCCGGCTCTATTGTACTTGGTGTGGCAAATACGTAGGTCAAAAACTTCTTCAGTTTACGTGTACTTGCAAGTTATCTGAGGCCACTGCCGGCACGTGAGGAAGACCTGCACCTGAAATGTGCGTAGATGCAGTTGATAGTAATGCCATACGAAGACAGTGTATGAAAGGGTCAAGAAAGGCCTAATAACCTGACGTGCAACAACAAACTGAAGAGCAGCTGAAACACATGGTGGTAGAAAGTCTAAGAAGGAGATTTACAGACAGTGGGAAAGCGAGGTTGCATCGGGCACAGGAAATTTTACAGGCTTTCTAAGCAACCAGCAATCAAAGGGCTACTTTAATGGCTGGAGTTTTTGTCCCTTTTCTGGCATCTATAGGAGAGAGGAGAAGAGATAGCCCGATCGATCCCTAACGCATACACCTCATTACCATCAACCTGACGTGCTTGAATGCAATACAGTGCGCTGAAAGCCGTGGCCTGGATGGCTGCCAACTAACAGAATTACTCGGTACCCCTGTGATGAGGTGGAGTCAAGTTACCGTAGCTTCTTCTCAGCGTTGCCCTTATAGCAGTCCCGTTCGCAGGAAACTGAGGCAGGAATGTCTGGTCTCTTTTGTTCGGATAAGGGTTTGTGATGACATGCCTAGGCACCGGTCGTCTCCAGGTTAGCCATATGTACCCGTTCTCGCTGTCGGTCTTCTTGACTCTTTCATGACACCGGCCTAGGTGGATGAGGGAGAAGACGGTGTGACAGATGCTGCAAAAGTCAATTATTACTGTAAACAAATTCACATGCAAGTAACTGTCCCCACGCCCATCCTGCTGTCGTCGGAACGGACATTTAAAATATTTACTCTTATGAGTTACCAAAATGTAATGATGAGTGGCTTCAACTCTGCAAGAAAAATCTTAATCTTATAAAGTTTCTAACTCGCGGCCTTTTTCAATGAGCTTTGCTCGTCGGTTTTATTTGAGCAGAGTACATAAGATATATGAGAAGGAAATATTATCTGCACGTTAGTGAAAGTAGCAAAGGTTGTAAAAATTAAACATACCTGAGAAACAATATGCTTGATTTCATCTCATCTCAAGACATTTATTATGAAGCAACTTGGGGTGTTAGCCTGGTGCTCAATAACACAAGGCTATACATGGTCACATTTGATGAGGAGAATAGCTCCCTCAGAAGGAAGATAAACCCGAAGTGTTATCCTTTTTACGATGAATGGACGCTATTCGAAGGCTAGGTAGGGCTCTGGACGGATTTTCAATCTGCAATGGGACAAACAGGTTAAGTAACTGAACTGAAACAAACTTCCCACTGAAGATATTTTTGCATTCCCAGGACCGTACGCATTTTTTTGCGAAGCTAAGGCGGAAACATTTAATTTAACAAGGCTTATAAACGAGGACATTCATGTACATATTTCTTAAATATCAAAGAATTGTGGCTACTCGTTTCGGAACCGAAAACTTAAAAATTGTGGTGTTCAACCACGTCGACTATAATAACTTTTGCAAATAATCTGCGAATGGATATTTGGACAGCAAAGATGGATGGTAGATAGTATTATGATGACAATTTAAAATAGCGCAAAACAGCCGCAGCAACTAATATATCCGAATTTTGAGTCAACATTAAAAAAGGCGGTTACCCGGTCCCATGCCATTAAAAAGCAATTTGCAGGGTACAACGAACAACCGTTTCTATAAATAAGCACTGAGATAAAACTTGATACGTTAAAACGGCCCGCCTTGTATTTAGCGCTTCTTTGTGTTCAAGGCTTTTAACTAGAACTTCCGAAGGTTACTGAGGACAAAAATTAAGAAAAGTCTGAGTTATTTAGCTTGAGGTCACAGATGAAGAAATATATACGCAACTTGAGGAGCATAGGTGGACTTGTGATAAATTCTCATCGGATCATTAAATTTATATGGGAAATGGATCAAAGATAAACAATCCCGTGTAAATATAACGGTTCGATGAAAATTTATCGAAAGCCGATGAATGCTCATCAAATGCTCCTCTAATTTCCCTTATGGGAGATTTTTCAACTTTATACGTAACTTGCCTTGATGTTTATAGATGTTGCATGTTTCCGATCAGCCCTGGTTGGTTGTCCACTTACTTGCAAGAACATACGTGATTTAAATCATATCAGTTTTCACGCAAATATAATATGTCTTTATGTTCCTATGCAACATGTTTCAAACGAATAAAGTGATATTTCCGTTCCACACTCGTACGCTTTGCCCCTTTATTCTCATTTCATATGTTTTGGGTCAATCATTTTTAAAATGTTCTTTTATACTCATTTGGTAGAAAACGACCGTGTCTGCAATTTTACAAATTTTGAAATGTCATGCTTTTTTTAGTAAATTTTTTTAATTGTAAAATACGTAGGACCATGGAACATCTTGGCATAAACCATCGCATTTATTAATGCTGCATACGAGGTAAACAGTCCGTCATGGTAGTGTCAAGTTTTACGAGCCCTTTAACAAGTCGTTCCGAAACATTAAAGAGGTGCATGATCTTCTCTGCACGCACAATTATACTGCACCTACAGCGTGGCTCCAAAATCATTGAGGATTCGACTTATTTCACAACCGAACGCTTAAATTTATTTAAATATAACATTTTATGAAAATGTCCCATGCTACCCAATGACTACGAAAACCTTAGTTTTTGCATGTTTTGCATAAAGTTTATTTGGTTTTTTAACGATTATGAAAAAGCAATGTGAAAATGCATACTATTCAAGCAGTCACCTTTCTTGGTGTAGTTTCCGCAAGCAGACGGCCAAGGGGAACACCCAATGTCGTCATCCGGTCACGATTGAAACATATTGGGATTACTGTGCACGATAAACAACATTGTAAGTCCAAATACGCACTCATTTTTACTCGAAGTTGTAGAGAACATTGCGCTTAATTCGTGGGGTGCATGCTAGTTCCAGGTCTTAATCCTAATTCATTCGGCTCTTCAGTAAAAGCTCACTTGCTATGCAGAATTTTCCCTTCTCGAGTCTTACGCAGTTTAATATGTAAATCTCTCGTTTACGTTATTTCCGGCAAAATCGCGGTCACTCGCTTATGTCAATAACATATTCGGTCAAGGTTCTATTATTCAGAAAGCAATTATTATTTATTTCTTTGTGTTTCTGCAGAGAACGCACGAAGCCCTTTGACTTCAGATGGTCTTCGGATGGAAAATACACATCTCTCACCTATTCCATCGAGGTGACATATGAATTCGAAAAGACGCTGTCTGTAGGCGATTCGGAGAATGATGTGTTGTTTACGGCAAAAATTCCCGACATCGTAAGTTTAAACAGCAGCCGGCCCTCTAGCTGTTGCGTCCTCGATCAAGTTTTTAATATAGCATATGCGTAAAACTGGAGGTAGAAGCAAATAAACGAAAGAAGAGTGGCCATTGCAGCTGAAGTGCAAAAATCCCTCTCAAGGGTTATGGGCCTCCTTCAATGAGCCTACCAA